AGTAATGCACGTCTTCAATAGGGGGTCGAGTTAAAAACCTGATGTGGAAAAACCCTGTGCGAAAAAATCCTAATGAGGGAAAAAGAGTGCACCGGATGCCCCCAAAACAAAGCAAAAGTTGCGAAACCTTCGGCCTGGGTGTGGAGTTGCATCGGTGTCCATCTGCTGAGGGGACGCCCTTCTGCTGATGAGGACGACGACGCTGATTAGCTGGTCCGAATATGAGGACGAGGCGACGGACGCCTGTCTGGATATGAGGACGAGGCATGACCGGTTAGGCCATCCCAGATCAATAATGATGCGAAGAATTATTAATAGTTAATGTGGACATTCACTCAAGAACCAGACGATTCTTCAACCTAATGAGTTATCTTGCATTGCTTGTTCTCAAGGAAAATTGATTACTATACCCTCACCGCCTAAACTTAGAACAAAATCGCTTTCCTTCTTAGAACGTATTCAGAGTGATATGTGTGGACTAATAGATCCACCATGTGGACCATTTCGGTATTTCATGGTTTTAATCGATGCATCGACTAAATGGTCACATGTATGCTTATATATTATCGTCACGCAACCTGGCATTTGTGAGATTACTAGCTCAATTAATTGGATTAAGAGCACAATTTTATAATTATCCAATTAAAACTATTCGCCTTGATACTGCTGGTGAGTTCACATCCCAAGCTTTTAATGATTATTTTATGTCCATCGGGATAAAAGTAGAACATCCTGTAGAACATGTTCATACTCAAAATGGTCTCACAGAGTCCCTAATTAAACTGCTCCAGCTTATTGCAAGATCATTACTTATGAAAGGATAAAATTATTAGATATAAAGTGTGTTTAGTTGCACAAGGATTTTCACAAAGACCCCACATTGATTATGATCAGACATTTTCTCCTGTGGTGGATGCTAATTAGTCTGGTAATATGTGAAGGGCTTGATTTACGCCTCATGGATCATGGATGTAGTAACGACCTATTTATATGGCTCACTTGATACTGATATATATATATATATATATATATATATATATATATATATATATATATATATATATATATATGTATGTATGTATATATGAAACTTCCGGAATGTTTTAAGTTGCCTGAAGCATGCAATAGAGGTTCTCGAGAACAATATTATATTAAACTAAACAGATCTCCATATGGTTTAATGAAATCAGGGCGCATGTGGTACAATCGCCTAAGTGAGTACTTATTAAAAGAAGGATATGAAAATGATAATATATGCCCATGCATTTTTATTAAGAGATCTGATCAGGAGTTTGTAATCATTGAAGTATATGTTGATGATCTAAATATAATTAGAACTCCTCATCAGCTACAAAAGACAATTGAATGTTTGAAAAGGGAATTTGAAATGAAGGATCTTGGAAAGACAAAATACTGCCTTGGACTACAAATCGATCATTTAAATAATGGCATCCGTGTGCATCAAACAACCTATGTAGAGAAGGGGCTAAAAAGATTTTTAATGGATAAGGCACATCCTTTGAGCACCACAATGGTCGTAAGACAACTTGAAAATGATAAGGACCCCTTTAGATCATGTGAAGATAATGAGGATATTCTTGATCTAGAAGTACCATATCTAAGCGCAATAGGAGCACTAATGTATCTTGTAAGTCACATTAGACCCGATATATCCTTTGCTGTAAATTTATTGGCAAGATATAGTTCCTCTCCAACGCGAAGACATTGGAATGGGGTCAAACATATACTTCGTTACCTTCAAGGTACAAAAGACATGGGTCTATAATTTTCTAACGTGTCCAAATAGGATTGATTGGTTTTGTAGATGCAGGTTATTTGTTTGATCCCCTTAAAGAGAGATCACATCGATATGTGTTTAAATGTGGCGGAACATCAGTTTCGTGGCGTTCCATGAAACAAACAATTGCGGCAACATCATCTAATCATGCAGAGCTATTAGCCATTCATGAAGCGAGACGAGAATGTGTATACTTAAGAAGTGTAATTTGACATATTAGATGGTCATATGGATTATGATCTGAAAAAAGCCTCTGACCACCTTGTTTGAAGATAATACAACTTGTATCCATCAACTTGTATCCATCATGTTTGGATGAGTAAACATGTACATTTTACCTAAAGGAAGGATTCATCAAGGGAGATAGGAGGAAACATATTTCACCAAAATTTTGGTATACACATGACATCCAGAAAGAGAGTGAAATTATCGTTCAACAAATTCGTTCAAGTGACAACGTTGCGGACTTATTGATCAAGGCTCTTCTAACATCAACCTTCAAGAAGTTAGTGCACCTGATTGGATTACGTCGACGCAAGGATCTTGAGTGATATTCATTAGGGGGAGTAAATACGCGTTGTACTCTTTTTTCCTTGCCAAGGTTTTGTCACACAAGGTTTTCCTCGGCAAAGTTTTTAATGAGGCAATACTAGTACTAAAGCGTATTTTTATGTACTCCTTATATATTCTTTAGTAGTGTATATTTAAGGAGGAGTGTTATGTAATGTATAAATATACACTACTTCCCCTAACCCAATCCCATGAATATTTGATCACACACATACTTACCTATATATATCCCATACTCTCCCTCATTTCTACACACTCTTAATCATATTATAATAACCATGACTCTTCAGGCGGCAAATTTTACATATTTAATAAGTGAGTTGAGTGTTCGGAGCCTACACACTCTAACTTGAGTAGAATCTTACATATGATTACAATGGCAGCTACGATATATATTTAGGACCCGTTTGGTTGGGGGTAAATCTCACATGAAGGCCGGAATGTGATGCACGGAATGTTAGATACCATTGTTTCGTTCACGGGTGTGAAGAAAAATCGGGAAAGTTACATTCCTCATAATGTTATATGAAGGGGAATGTTAAACCCATCCATGCCTTAGGTTATCTCACATTCCCGGGGTGATCTAATTTTCTTCCGAAAATACATTCAATTAATTATCTCTTTTCATTTAATTTCTTTATACATTCAACTGTTATCAAATTTAATTTTTTGTGACCTTATAAAACTTTTAATGTAGTGTCTAAAAATGTAAATTTTATTTACTAAAAATAATCTTATTATTGACAAAGATCGGTTAGTTTCATGGTCAGTCAAACATCGTAAATTGTGTAACAACCTTTTAGGTGGGACGGACTGAGTATTAATTATATTCGAATGTCTATTCTTGTTATTTGCATATTATATGCCTTAACATTTAAATTTTTTAAGGTATTTATGTTATAAGAGTTATAGATTTAAAGGGCATAAATGTAAATCATCATATCTGCAATATAAGATATCTTTCAACCAAATAAATTAGAGAATATTACTCGAAATAGGACTAAAACAGTTTGAAAATTTCAAAATAGGACTCCCATGTTTTTATTCCAAAAATAGGACTAATTACTACCATTTTTTGCAGTACCAGACTTCATACATGGCAGTATTTTCTAAACTTGTCACTAATTACTCTTATTTTGGGAATAAAAAACATGACAGCCATATTTTGGAATTTTGAAACCATTTTAGTCCTATTTCAGGAACTTTCCCATTAAATTATGACACATTCCCTTGATGTTAACTAAACACAAATGAAAATCAATTGAATACATTCTCATCAATATAACATACCCAGCAATCTGACATTCCCGGTAATCTGGCATTCCTTGAACGAAACATACCCTTAAGGATTCTTAGCATTACTAACAATCTTAGGACACTTTTCATGTACATGGTTTTCTTTCCTAGTCAATTTATTTTCCATTTCTTGTCTATTTTTTCCCTCCAAAATTTGTACTTTTGTATAGGTCGCATATTGTGAATAGTAATTTATATCACATCTTTCATATTTATCATTAATAAAAAAAATAAGATATACTACTCCCAGTTTAACTGGGTAAGTAATAATCAATACTACGTATTATGTAAGGCAAAAAATTTGAGACAAAATTAACACATCACATAAATTATTATATTCATCTAACCTAATGGTGGACCTGGCCCAGCCCGGGACGGGATTGCGCGGGACTGGGGTTGTGGGTTGCAGGTCCGGTACCGACCCGGGTTTGTACCAGGATCGGGCGGGACCGGGTCGGTGATTCTTTTTAAAAAAATGGCTTTTTGAATATATTTCTACCCCTCACCCCCTGAACCCCCCCAAACCACCCAGCCCGACCCATCTAGCAGCCAATCAATGAGAAAAACGAGAACAAATGGGCCCGGGCCATTTTGAAGGCCCGTACCGTAGCCCACCCCCTATCCCCGGTTCGGGCCCCCAGTCGTGGTCCCGGTCGTGGTCGGCCAGGCCGGGCGAGTACAGTAACGGGCCAACTCGGCCCGAACCGGCCCAATCCATCCCTAATCTAACCTATCAATGTATATTTTCTTTATAAACTCTTATACTATAAGCTCTAAAAATAAATCCTAAGTGTGATTATAAATTTGTCTTAATAAATTCCAATCTCAATTTATGATTAAGGATTATAATTTCTGCCATCAATTTGTGATTTTAAAATTTATGATTTATTTGTAATCCCTTTCATGTGTTTCTAGTTTTTGGAAATAATTAGATTAATTGGTTATAATGAGTCAACACTTATTTTGAAAATTGTTATCATTCAAATTTTTTATAAAAATATTTCGGATATTTTAATTGGTCTGATTTTGTATGTCTAATCTGATTTAATTTGATATGATCTAGTAGACCTATGGTGTATGTATATTTTAAAGTCTGGTTTGATATGATATATTTAAAACTAATCTCGTGTGAAAATAATCCAACTAAAATCATTTTGGTTAGTGCACATTCGCTCCTAGAGTTTTATTTCAAACACTTTCATTTCATTTTTTGTTCCCAAGCCAGCAATTCAGCCCTTTCAGCATTTTCCAAACGGACCCTTAATGTTTTTTTCTTTTCAATAAAAAAAAGTAGCCTATGTATTGTCCTAAAAACTGAAGTGTTATACTCGCTAAGAATTAACAAGAAAGTGTAGAGAATTTTATTTACTTCACAAATAGCAAGTTGAATTCTTCAACAATGCCATATTGAAACCAGAATATACATAAACACACATTTGTGATTATTCTGCAGCCGTGTAAAGCCTAATTTATGCTGTGACTTCATGATATACATAGAGACCATGAAGCAAGTGCAGCCTGGAGATTTACTTTGACTCCAAACCACACACAAAAAATGAGGAATTAATGTACATTTGATCTGAATTTATTATATAGGGCTATGAACAGAACTAAATCACCAAGCCTAAACTCGTTCGGGGAAGATGGAGCATGGAGAGAACAATTTCCCCTTGTCCTGGTAAGCTTTTGCAGCCCACAATAATGTCAGAATCACCAAACAGACGGAGAACAGCAGCGTCGATAACCATAGTCGCCGTGCTGCCTTCCTGAATGGCTTGCACTGGAACTGAACAATATCTGAGAATGCTTGTTTTACTTGGGAGCACTTTAGAAGGCTCACCAAATCAGGATATATGTCTATCAGGTCTTGTAGTGATTCACTGTAAGCCCTGCATTCATCATATAATGCCTCAGGCAAGAATTTTCCTTCTCCTCGGCATTTCTTTGACGATTTGTAACACGTGTACCGCGAGAGGATCTTCATGATCATGGAAACATAAATATTAACTCTAATGCAATGAGATGTTGAAATGTATTCGACCTTTTAGAATGGAACTAAAAGTTGTAACAATTATTTAATCATCTTGCGTAATGATGTAAAAAATGTAAGATACCATATGGTTGACCTAATGGTGGACCCGAGCTGGTTTTGGTTCCAGATCATGGAATTTATGGAACCATAACCGTGTCTGGATATACCAAGTCTAGTCCCCGTTGGGTATAACTGTCTTTCGGATCCAGTTCATACTCACTTTAATTGTTAGCCTATTTTATAATAGATAAACAGAACAAATATGGCCAATCTGGACTTATTTTGGAAGAACTACAATTCAACTCGATTGTGAACAGGTCCCGGTTATTGTTAAGCCATTAAAACAGTTTAGTTTCGGGCTCGAAAACTCGCTAGTCCAATATGATCCGTTTTCATAACCAAGACCAGGTCCACCTTAAGTTGACTTATATGGTGGAAGGTAAGTCTTAATATAGTACGGAGTAATAAATCACGTTAAGCTCAAACGAGCAATTCGATACTTATAGATCATAACATGGTTACATTTACTATACACTTACATTTGGTAAGTTTCCAACGGGAATAGAATCAGTTGGGCATTTATCAGGGGTGAAGGTGTAATTAGGTGCACCGGAAAACGGGTTACAAACTTCCTGAACTACCAAATCATCATCGGTTTCTGTTGGTCGTGCCAGAGCTGGCAGCTCTGCGAGCTTCAAGTTAATCTGCACAATGAATGAACTGTAGCTGTTAGGTTGAAGATCTGTAAGTTCTAATCAGATATAAATCATATGATAAACAAATTAAAGCACCTGTGACATGTAATTATGGATAGTGGAACCAATTCGAACCAACAAGGTGTTGGAAGTTGGGTATTTTGTACAAGGAACTACAGATTGCAGACTGCTGTTTTGAGGATTCTGTTGAAAATCTTCCAAAGCATTGCATGTATCTTCTGCAAAGCTGCATATTTTTCTAACAAAATAAGTTCAGAGGGGGGGAAATTACATCAAAGGGTTTAATTGATACGAAGAAGAGTAAAGGATGAGTAGAAAAGAGTAGTATAGCTTGGACTCACTTGTGAAAGAAAAAATTAATGCCAGTCAAAAACCAGCTTAGACCTGTCAATATCCAGCAGCAAAAGAGTATGCTGAAAATGAGAAATTCAAAGAATAAGAACATAAGACGTCTTCATCGATAATATTTAATCAAGGTAAGATAACATTAAGATTCTGTCCAATAATAAGAGTTTACATTATGAGTCCGAGGGGCCACCGGAAGAAGAAAGAAACTGAGCCAAAGCAGCATTCCATTAGTCTAATCACATTTGGTATGTCACATGTTTCTCAGAAGGAACTGGCTAAATAAATAAAGCTCTAGTAAAAGGAAGGATAGTAATACCACATTTCAAAACTATTGTGTCTCAAGACCACATATATGCTAATATGATGCATAAGTTTCTAACCAATCCACATTAAGTAAAATATGCAATAAAAAACCAACCTTAACCTTTTTTTTTTAAAACCAACCTTAACCTATAACATCACTTTCAGTATGTGATCTCGTGTCTTACAATGATATCATATCAAAGCATGTTAAGATCAAATAAGCATATTATCTTCGGTTGCTTCATAAAGCTAGGAAGTATTTAGTGACACTTTATACTTGAAACTAAGGGGGAATCTAAAATTGTGATTTATAGCTATGCATCTCACCTAATGCAGCTACCACAAATACCAAATTGGAAACGACAACAACAAGATTCGCCACATATCTGAAATAAAAGAGGAAAGAAGCTAAGAAACCGTCAGCTTACAGAAAGATATGAAAACAGGAAAAAGGAAAACACATAATAAAAATGGCAAACTCACAAAGTTACAACGGCTGTCTTGGTTGAGTGCCTGCTTGTATCTATAAATTGCTTAACCGACACCGATTCTCTTCTCAGAGAATGTGTCGTCACACTCAACATATGGATGGATTCCGAGTCGTATGGGCTTAGAACCGTTTGGAAGGTTAGCAAGATGTTTTTCGTCCTTTGCATAACCTGTTGAGCATCAGAACCAGCATCAAGCATGGTTTCAATAAGCTTTTTGGTTTTATGCATGCTGCATTGGTTTGCTGCCACAACAAAGCTGCTTGCAACTCTACATTCCCAAAACAACATCAATCAAATATGTTTGTAAACGGCTTAACATTCCTATAAAATTGTGCCTTTAAATCCATGCCTTCTTTTTAATCTTAGGGACCAATAAAAAACAAAGTGTAATCATTCGTTGCAGGCCAAATGGAGTAAGGATGTTTTTACTTGGACTGTTTTCGGTCCCATACCACACCAAATCAGACCATACCTGGACAGAGACCAGACATCTACCATATCAGAATAGACGGTTCAGACCAGACAAAAAAATTTCAGTCCAATTAAAAACATCCTTGCAGCGATTATTTCAACCCCAAGAGTCTAAATACCCAATTGTCCATTCAGGCGCCCAAACACTTCAACCCGATAGAGTAGGTGGAGATTAAATCAGGGGACTCGTCTGATTATAAAAGCAGGACTTTTATATATATTGTTCATAAAGATTAAAGAGCCCTTTTCCTTGAAAGGTAATTACCCCTATAATGGCCTTAACAAGATTCCACTTTAGCTCACTTTACCAATTTTTTTCAGCCATTCACATGTAAGGTTGCGAACGATCTTAATGTGGCATTAAAAAAAGGTGTTCAAAGTTTCCGACATTGGGCGGTGAGAAGTGAAAGAGACACTTACATGGAGAGAAGGGTGAAGAAGATTATTAACCAGAAGAGCAATATGTAAGAAGAGTTTGGATGGTCGACCATATGTGCATAGCTATCACTGGAATTCTTGATCATTACATAACTTCCCAAACCCACCCCACACAGCAACCAAATTCCGGCGATCACATATCCATGAATTCCTGTTATCGTCCTAGACTGCCAAAATTAACAAGTCAAAATAATTATAAATATAAATAAATAACATCAACTTGAGAAAAGTTCATATCAGGTCCCGGTTTGACAAGAATTTGTGTGAACCAATTTCATTTTTTTTTTATAAAAAACGAAGTTTATGATCCCAATTTGTTGGTTTTTTTTATAAAAAATTTGTGTCCAATTTTACTTCTATTACTCTCTATTTTTTTTGTATTGTCCCAAAATAAGTGTCCTCATTTTATTTTATTAAAAAATGTGTTAATCGTATGGCGTTACAACATTTCAATTTATTATACACAATTCTCAAACGTAACTTTTCTTTTTAACTACTTCCTCCGGTCCTAAATAAAGTTCACACTTTCTTTTTTGGGCCGGTTCAAATTAAAGTTCACACTTCTTCTTTCTTCCTTATTTGGAAAATTATCTACATCAAAATGGTGCAAAACAGTGCAAAACAGTGTCAAACAGTGTCACAACAGTGTACTCTACAGTAAAGTCAAATTTATTTTCTTAATTTGTGTGAAGTCAACGTGTGAATTTTATTTAGGATCGGAGGGAATACTTTATTAATAGTTGTGTCAATCAATTAAGTATGAACTACTCCCTCCGTCCTAGAATTATATTCAAACTTTCCTTTGTTGTCCGTCTGAAAATTATCTCATCTTTCTTTTTTGCAAAGAATTTGTGATTCGGAACATTTCTTATACATTCTTACATATTTCTCGCTCCTCTGTACAAATCTCCACTGCACCATACTCAATATCTTAATCCTCGTGTCATTTTTACTTTAGAAGATAAATACGAGACGTAAGAGGTAATATCTCAGTCCCCCATTAGTACAAGAGTCAATTTATGTAATTGATATTGAATTGATAAAATGGGAATAAATTAAGAATGATTTAAAACCACATAAATGTTACCAAATTTGGTATAAGACAATCTTAGTGGCGATCAAGGAAATATTGAACGATCGTAGTTTAGTGGATGGGATGAAGTATTAGTTTTAACTTTTAACGTTAGATCATAGAAAAGTAATTTTTACGATGAACTAATATTAATGACTAGATAATGATAAGCCTATAATCGAACAAAATTAAGACATAATGATTAAAATAAATAGTTGGTACTAATGAATAAAAAATATACCATAATTAAAATTAAGATGAGCAAACTCGCTGTGCTGATATGAACACTATTTCATGTAATGATAACATTACACATAAGTATATTTTTTTGGTCATCAAATCATAATTAATGAGAAAGAGACTTACAACCCAATAATGCTTATCGGTGATGTTATAATAACCTCCGCCGCCGTGCATCAGAGCACCGGCACGGTCATTGTTGACGTTGTCGCGGCGGTAGTGGGAGCCGTTCACAGCACCGGATATGAGTAAGATAAGAAGGAGAGGAAAGAAATATCCACATGAAGGAGACATATTAATTACAGAACCGGCGGCGGCGGGCAGCTGAGACGATGATCGATGCTCTAAAATCGGCAGCTAAGTAGCATGGCAGTTATTATATGTAAAAGGGAGAATTGAAGACAGATTGATTCATTCCTTGGGCTTTGCGTTTAAGGTTGGAATCGCTTGTGGTCTGTGTTTTGTGATCTTTCTTGAGCATGACAAAAAACGTGTGAATGCATATACTCCGTCTGACTCTCTCCATGTTTTTGTATTTCTTCCACTCCACTTAAATTTTCACATACTTTAAAAAAAAATCTAAAAATTACGAGTATGTAATACGCGTATAATACTCCGTAGCAAAAAAATAACGGCCGGGATTGTTTCGAGACAAGACAGATGTGACTAAGGGGGAGCACGGTCCGGGTCTGTTCGGGTAATTGATAAATTTTCAATAATCGTCGGTTCCATTTAACTGGTAGATTCGGTCCGAGTATTCCAAATTTTGAAATAGGAACCGGACCTTACCCGCCCCGTTTGAAATGGACCGGTTCGGTCCGTGTTCTTGGTTCTTTTTTGTTTTGTAAAACAAAACACCGCTATGCTAGCAAAGTACTCCTATATAGTAGTTATAACTAGGGGTGGTTCGGTACGGTATACCTAATATTTTCTCTCATACCTTTACCGTACCAAAATTTTCGTTATACAAAATTTATATTCCGTTACCTTACCGAAGTTTCGGTATACCATATTTCGGTATACCGAAGTTTCGGTTCGATATCGGTACGGTATCGGTAAATTACCGTGCATGTCTCACATTACAACAAATTATCATACACTAACAAAATATACTAAATCAGTGTTACTAGCGACATATTTAATCCATTATTAAAATGTTACATAATACATTTAATAATCTTTTGATGTCATATTCAATATTGAACAATAATTATTATTAGTATATTTAAGCAATTCAACATGTCACATATTAAAAAATAACACATTCTCATAAAATAACTTGAACAATATAGATATAATTAAATGAATATAAAAATAAATAAAATCATTCAAACAACATGGATACAAAATCATCTATCCCTAATATGATATTGTCTATTTAGTCATTTTTTAATTTTATAAAATATTTGAAATAGACTTTCCGACAAAGTTGTGTGCCTCGACTAAGTATATCTCTATGTAGATACATTCGTCACATAAGTGTATCCCTCTTCACTCGTCAGCTACTCAGCGGCTCAGCCATCGTGACTCACAAGCTCATGGAACAAGATGGACTAGTTTCTGGACATTAGTACATTACTCATTAGTTATTATGCTTATTTGTTTAAAAGTTACGTAGTAGAAGCCTAAGCTAAAAGCTTATAGCGTGTTTGGCGAATTGGGCCTTTCTTTTTGTATTTTAGTATGTGCAACCAACCTAAGTATTAATTTTTGGCTTCAAAATTGTAATGGACTTTTACAATATTTTAGAATATAAAGTAATTGTTGGGTATGAAGCCGGTACGGTATTATACCGGTATATCGCGGTATTTGAAAACATTTACCGTTACCGTACCGAAATAAATTGGTAGGGTACAGTATGATACCGTACCGAAAATGACGGTATACCAATATTCCGGTATTTTCCGGTATTTTTCAGTACGATAAGTCCAATATACCGATTTTTTGGTATTTTTGCCCACCCCTAGTTATAACATTCTCAAACTAATTATGTATCAATGTCACCATAATATAGTACAAATTCAAATAAAAATATAAAACAATATTTTAAATTAGTTAACAAAATATCTAACCACAAATCTATAAATTATACAGCACACAACTACCCAAAATAAATAATACCAAATTTTAAAATGTAGAAATTTAGACATCATTTTCCATAAACTAAAAAGATATTACTATAAAGTCAGAAGAAACTAAATTAGTTGCCATACGTATTTGTTTATGAAAACAATTTAAAACTTATTAAATTTCAACATATAAGTAAAATTAAGATAATTAAATAAATATGTCACACTTCATTCAGTAAGAGTCTTCGTTTACAAAATATATTTATAAATAAAGAAAGTTTGATGCATTTGGAATAGAGAATTGGGAGAAATAATTTAGGAGTTTATATGGACTTTGAAAGTCTTTTTAATAGACTGTCAAGTTTCTTTAATTGAGTCTTTGTCTAGACACAAGAACATGAATTTTTCTCTATTTTTAAATAACAATATAAAACGGATCGGTCCGGGTACCTGTTTTTTCAAATTTTAAGACATGTTCGGTTCCTAAGCTTTTAAAGACCCGCCCCGCCCCGAACCGTTAGGGTTTTTTCTAAAATTAGGACCCAGCCCTAACCCGCCCTAACCTATATTACCTAGCCCTAACCCGCTCGAACATTTATTACCCAGCCCGACCCGCGGTTCCTATACCTGTTTACCCATGCCCCCTAGATGTGACATGGATTTGGGCATATCCGTGGCAAATCAAAAATTTGTGTTAATCCCGTTATTCTTTTTATAGTGATATAAATGAAATATGAGATAATAACATAAACGATACCGGTAGAATAATTAATGAATATTGGTCATTGTTTTAAAAGGGGCCAAAAGACGGTGTCTAGGCGCGCTTGCATAGCAGGGCCGTTTTTAGGAGGTTCAATAGGTTATCCAGAACAGGCCCCCCGCCCCCGGATTAATGGGGCCCCAAATTTTTAAAAATTTATTAGTATTATATAGTAATATTATATATTAATACTAATCAGTAAAATACAGCTAGCTAGTAAAGAAGAAAAATATATATCCATCATTTTTTCGTTGGTCCTTTTACTCTGTTCGTTCTCTTCTAATGAGTATTTAATTGATTTGAGTATAAGTATTTAGTTTATATAAATGGGGGCCCCGATTTTTCATTTCGAACCGGGGCCTCCAAATTCATTCGACGGCCCTGTTGCATAGTAGAACAACGTTGAAGGGTGCATCCGGTCAAAGAAAGAGTTGACAACCAAAAACGTGAAAAGGCGAGAAAGGCGATGTCTAGGCGTGAAAAGACGGATTTTTTTTGATAATTTAATTTTTATAAAGAAAATGTTGACTAAACTAAAAAACACTTATTATAAACATGTTACGTATAGAATCTAATACAGAATAGTAAAAAGCAATAACATATCATTTTGTATTTGCACTTTTTATAAATTCACAAAATATATATATATTGAATAATGTAAAAGTTAGGCTCAATATTTTACAAAAATTTTGGACATCTTTTAATTTTTTTCTTCTTATATTACTATAAATTACTCTGAGACAACTTGGCATAAAACATCTTTTCATATGTATAGGATTTGCCTATTCTCGCCTCTAACTTCAAACATTTGAACTGAATTAGTAGTGCACGTACATTAACATTGTTATGAAAATGAAGGAGATGAAGATTAAATTTGGGAGAGATATATTAATAAAAGCTCTAAATATCTTCTTCTTAATATCTGAGAATTTCTGAATTTCTGAATGAATTTACAATGCCTCCTCAAGCTCCTATTTATACTGTTTGAACTTGATGATTAGTCACTTAAGGGATGAATCTACAGATTTGGTGGCAATAACAATTTGAGCCATCTGTTCTAACTAGGTTACAAGGATTAAACATAATTTCTGGATTGATGACAAGGATGAACAATTCACACTTGTCATTTCCAGGATTTTACAACACTCCCCCTTGAATGTTCATCTTTGAATAGTTGTCTATTAAAAAAACTTATTGTGAAAATTAAGGGGTAAAAATTACGACTTATAATGTCGTTGTATTTGGATGTATTGTCTCGTTAAAAACCTTATCAGGAAAAACCCAGTGGGATAAAAACCTGATGAAGGGAAAAAGAGTGCAGTGCATTCAAATATTCCCCCTGAATTTAGTATAAATTATGAAGACGTCGCATGCCGATTTTCTGTACAAGTTCCATGAACTTCTTCGGGGGTAAAGATTTGGTGAAGAGATCGGCTGGATTTTCACTGGATCTGATTTGTTGAATGTTGATCGTCCCTTCTTTCTCGAGATCATGAGTAGAGAAGAACTTTGGTGATATGTGTTTTGTTCTGTCTCCTTTGATGTAGCCTTCTTTAATCTGAGCCATGCACGCAGTGTTGTCTTCGTAGATCACAGTAGGATGACAAGTAATAGATTTCATGCCGCATTCATTTTGGATGTGTTGACTCATAGATCGTAGCCACACACATTCTCTTCCGGTTTCATATAGTGCAATTAACTCAGAATGATTTGACGATGTAGCTGTCAATGTCTTCTTCATAGATCTCCATGAGATTGCGGTGTTACCATAAGTAAATACGTACCCGGTTTGTGATTTCGCCTTTTGAGGATCTGATAAGTATCCAGCGTCTGCATATCCGATTAAAGCAGCTTTTTCATCTTTGTGGTAGAATAAGCCAAGATCAACTGTACCACGTAGATAACGGAATATGTGCTTGATCCCGTTCCAATGACGTCTTGTTGGGCATGAACTGTACCTAGCTAATAAATTTACGGAGAATGCAATATCTGGTCTAGTATTATTAGCTAAATACATTAAAGCTCCCATAGCACTCAGATATGGTACTTCGGGACCAAGTATTTCTTCATCATCTTCTCGGGGACGGAATGGATCATCGTGTATGTTGAGAGATCGAATCACCATTGGTGAAGTCAAAGGATGAGCTTTGTCCATATAGAATCTCTTCAAAACTTTCTCGGTGTAATTGGATTGATGGATGAAAATTCCATTCTTCAAATGCTCAATTTGAAGTCCGAGACAAAATTTGGTTCTCCCTAGATCTTTCATTTCAAATTCTTTCATAAGATATTTTGCAGTATTTTCAATCTCATCGGGAGTTCCAATAATATTTAAGTCATCAACATATACTGCAATTATGGCGAATCCCGAATTTAATCGCCGGATGAAAACACATGGACTAATTGGATCATTCTTATATCCTTCCTTAAGAAAGTATTCACTGAGACGATTATACCACATTCGTCCAGATTGTTTTAGTCCATACAATGACTTTTGTAGTTTAATGGAAAACATTTCTCGAGGTTTCGAGCTATAAGCTTCAGGCATTTTAAATCCTCCGGGAACTTTCATATAAATGTCTGTATCGAGTGAACCGTATAAATATGCAGTTACTACATCCATTAGGCGCATTTGCAGCCTTTCAAAAACAGACATGCCAATGAGAAACCTTAATGTAGTTGCATCAACTACTGGAGAATAGGTTTCTTCATAATCAATTCCCGGT